CTGTGCATTGCGAGAAGCTGTCCGTGAGGACGCTCCGCTCCCGCCGGGCGTTCTTCGAGGAGGACGGTTCGGTTCGCGTTCCCCGAGCGGGTCTCTCTGTTGCCGAGGCTCGGAGACGGCTCGTATTTCGGGGTTCGAAAACGGATCTGACAGCGGGGGTTGTGACGGGCTCCGCCCTTTCTCAGCTTTCACATGCCAGATTTAGTGTGCTGCGATTTCCAGTTCCGAGGAATTGGTATCGTTAGTGTTTTGTTTAAAAAGAAAGAGAACAAAACAAATACAAATCTTTATAAAAAGGCAGATGTTTGAGTTTTCAATGAATACATTTTCCAGCTCATAACTCTGTTGAATAAAGAGGAGCTTTTTTAAAGAAAAAAAGGAGGTTTTATCTAGTGCTGTTGCCAGTTAAATATTTACTGGCCAGCTGAACATTATGAGATTGAAAATAAAGAAGAGTTTGTTAGATGAACTGTATCTTAAAACAGGAAAACTCTGTATCTCAGCCTCCTCGTCGGGGACTGTGGTTTTTCCCTATCTCCACACTGAGGTGTCGAGATCGTGGAATAAACCGGTTTGTATTTTATGTGTTTAATCCCCAGATGTCTGACTATAGTAATGTTTGGGTATTAAGTATCATAGTATGACATTGCCTCGGGTTAAAGAGACGCTTGCGAGCTTTCTCTCTCCCGAGTCGGCGTTATCGTTATTAACCCCGACGTTACCCACCAGCCATCTTAATAATGAATACATTTTTATTAGGCAGCGCTGGTGGGTAGAGTATATAAGGACATGGATGAATGTGAGGGGCGACTCTCTGAGGAGGGTCGCACCGCTGCCAGTTCGGTTGTTTCCTGCTGGTGGCCGCAGAGTGATATATATGTATATATATATAAGTTTTTTCTGATATAAAGATAAAGGAAAATAAAGATATAATTATGTCTGTTCTTCTGGACGCTCCGCTTTCAAGAAAACTAAGAAATAAACCATTCAGCGGCGTTCCAGAGGTTTCTTCCTCACCAATCTAATGTTCCTGAGACGGCCTATTATGCTCCTCTCAGCAAAAAAAAGTGCAAAACAGAGCGTCGCCATTCGGGCTCCTCCGCAATTGAGGGGTACCTGGGTGGCGGTCGCAGTCTAGCCAGTTAGAGACATGCAAGATCTGAGGACTGTTTTATCTCTAAAATAGCTTTGACAAAGAAGAAGCCCTGACGCCGAGGCGATCAGGCTTCTAAGGGTGGTCCCCTCTGGGGTAGGGATGGTTTTGAGAAATCGTTTCTCCTCAGCGCCCTTTGGGGTGCGACTCTCTGTGGAGGGTCGCAGTACTGCCAGTTCGGTTTCCCTGCCGGTTCGCCGTTTCAGGGCACCAAGGTGTCAGTGTCCCCAAACGAGCCTTCAAATAAGAAAAAAGAAGAGCAGTCAGTTCGGTTTCCCTGCCGGTTCGCCGTTTCAGGGCGCCGAAGTGCCTGCTTTTTTCAACGATCCTCCGAGGAGGGTCGTAGGAACTAAGCTAGTTAGAGGTAGGCAAGATCTGAGGACTGTCATCATCTCTAATAAAGCTTAGACAAGAAGTCCTGTCGCAAGAAAACGAGGCTATCAGGCTTCTGAGGGCTCCTCCGGGGCAGGGACGGTTTTGAGAAATCGTTTCTCCTCGGCGACCTCTGGGGTGCGACTCTCTGAGGAGGGTCGCAGCGCTGCCAGTTCGGTTGTTCCCTGCCGGTTCGCCGTTCAGGGCACCGAGGTGTCAGCGTCCCCATACGATCCTCCGAGGAGGGTCGTAGAATGGTCACCCTGCCGGTTCGCCGCTTCAGGGCGCCGTAGTGACTGTTCAAACAAATCCAGAGGCCAGTCTTGAGAGACTGGTTCCCCTAGTAAATTTCTGGCAGCGTGGAAACTACTGCCACATATTTCTCAGTGGGTCCTGCACACTATAGAAAAGGGTTTCAGAATTCAGTTCGGTTCTCGTTCGCCCAGATTTCTAGGGGTCCTCCTCTCATTGGTGGACCCCGAGCAGGCTTTGGTTATGGAGCAGGAAGTACTGTCACTTCTGCAAAAGGAGCTGTAGAAGGGGTTCTTCCTCCCAGCAGACAGCCATTACTTCATTGTTTCCGAAAGAGGATGAGGGAGGTTCCCGAGGTTTCCTTTCGGGGGCGAAGCATACCATTATCGGGTTCTTCCATTCGGCCTAGGTTTATTACCCCACACCTTTACAGTATGCGTGGATGCAGCTCTGGCTCTTCTGAGACTCCAGGGCATTCGCGTATTATACTACATCAATGATTGGTTGTTCCTAGCTCAATCTGAGTTTATGGCAGTTCGGCATCGAGATGTCGTTCTGTCTCATTAAGGATGTTGGGGTTGCCTCTCAACGCCAAGAAGAGTGTGCTCTGAGGACCACTTTTCTAGGTGTAGCAATTCTTACAGCCGTAATGGGGTATATCTAGGCCAGTCACTCACTGTGAAACAGTTTCAGACGGGTGGGTCTCATGGCAGTTGCGTCCAACGTATTACTTTTGGCCTTCTGTTCATGAGACCCCTGCAGTGGTGGCTCAGGACCAAGGGGTTTTCTCCGAGGGGAAATATGTTTTCGCATGATCAAGGTCACGCGGCTATGCCTTCGTGCTTCGGTCATGTGGAAGAACCTTGGTTCCTCGCCCAGGCCCAGTGTTGGGGGCTTCTTGTCGACGCATATTGCTATCGACGGATGCTTCCCTCACAAGTGGGGGCGATCATGAGTGGTTGCTCGGCGAATGGCGGACAACACACTGATGGTCTCGTATATCAGAGCAGATATCCTGTTGAGGCAGGGGCTGAGGCCCAGGGGATTGGAGACTTCACCCCAGGGTGGTGGAGCTTCTTAGGGAGAACTTTGGTCTAACTTAAGTCAAGTCGACCTTTCACATCGTTTGTACAACGCATTGCTCTTTATGGTTCCCCCTCACGCAGCCAGCTCTTCTCGGACTGGATGCGATGGTTCCGGTGTGGCCGAGGCTGCACCTGTACGCATTTCCCCCGATATCTATGCTCCCGGAGGTTCTGGAGAGGGTTCGCCGGGAAGGGGCTCATCTGCTACTAGTAGCCCCATACTGGCCGACTCGAGTTTGGTTCTCGGACTTTGTCTCTTCTGGACGGCTCTCCCATGGAGATTCCGTTCAGGAGGGACCTGCTGTCCCAGGCAGGGGGCACGATATTTCACCCTCGACCGGAGTTGTGGAAACTGTGGGCCTGGCCTCTGAGGGGGCCAGGCTCATAGAATCCAGTCTCTCGACTGAGGTCGTTGAGACATTCTCCATTCCAGAGCTCCTTCCACGAGAAGACTGTATGCACTGAAATGGAAATTATTCTCCACCTGGTGTGGTGAGCGTCAGTTAGATCCTGTTAACTGCCCTGTTGGTTCAGTTCTCGATTTTTCTGCAAGACCGTTTCTCTGCTGGATTATCTCCTTCCACCTTAAAAGTTTATGTGGCGGCTATTTCGGCCTATCATACCCCTCTGGGGGGTACTTCTATTGGGAGAGATCCTCTGATTACTCGTTTTCTCCGTGGTACATTGAGGTTGAGACCTGCACTGCACTCTAGAGCACCGGCTTGGGATTTAGCCATTGTACTTGAGGGTCTGGCTCTGGCTCCCTTCGAGCCTATTGAAGAGGTTTCAGAAAAATTCCCCACTTTGAAAGCTTTATTTCTCCTTGCTATTTCATCTATCAAGAGAATTGGAGATTTGCATGCCCTGTCGGTTGCTCCGTCATGTCTGGAATTTGCACCTGGTATGGTGAAAGCATTTCTATACCCTAGACCGGGTTATATTCCTAAGGTCCCAGTTAATGTTGGGGGCCCAATAGTGTTGCAGGCCTTTTATCCTCCACCTTTTAATACCCCAGATCAGGAAAAACTGAACCTGTTATGTCCAGTTCGGGCATTGGATGCCTACGTTCACAGAGCTGCCCTGTGGCGTAAGTCAGAGCAGTTATTTGTATGTTTTGGGTCACTCAGAAGAGGGTGCCCTGCATCTAAACAGGTTATGAGCAAATGGATAGTCGAGGCTGTATCATTGGCTTATGAAGCGGCCGGTCAGCCTTCACCTATGGCTGTACGGGCCCATTCTACAAGGAGTATGGCGGCCTCTACGGCCTTAATTTCGGGTGTTTCCCTTCTTGACATTTGTAATGCGGCAGGTTGGTCCTCTCCACATACATTTGTCAGGTTTTATGACCTTGACCTCTCCACTCCTGGGGCGAGGTTGCTTGCTTCTTAGTGTGCGCAAGGACTTCACACAGAACGGGCATTTGTCACTATGGCGTAGTGGGTATGGGGTTCCCACCGCGTCTCAAACGCAGCTCGAAGTTCCCTTGAAAGGGAACGTCTCAGGTTACGTATGTAACCCTGGTTCCCTGAGAGGGAACGAGACGCTGCGTTTGCCTGCCATACTTCCTGCATGCCCTGATCGACTTGCTTCAGACTTTTTCAGAAGCTGTCGCGGTCTGTTTTCAAAGGTGCTTTATAGTTTCCTGGTCTATGACGTCACCCATGGCGTATCGGGCTTCCATTGGACTGATTTTACACGTGCTTCATGACGCAATCACGCAGAGCGTTCCCACCGCGTCTCAAACGCAGCGTCTCGTTCCCTCTCAGGGAACCAGGGTTACATACGTAACCTGAGACGTTTTCTTTGACGTTTAAGATATGTATTTTTTAATTATAAACTCAATTAGACTATATCTGTAAATACTGTACAGTACTATGCATTATGAAATGAATCATAAATAAAGCTGAACTGAATGTTTGTTTCATTTGATATATTAAGCGTGATAAAAAATGTAATGCTTATGTCAGAACCTGTTATGCTAGAAAACTGTTTCCAAACGTCCTCTGAACTGAATTGTTGTTATTGGCAACTCTGAGAAAGATGATATTCGCTTACATTCTGTTCTTATCCATGTATGTGAGCACACACACACACACACACACACACACACACACACGCGCGCGCGCGCGCAATATTACCTGTCCACTGCAGGGTGATAAAGCGGCCGCCCGTCTTGAGGATTTAAGTAGCTATAAGATGCTGATCCTCCAACAACACGAATCTTGAACAACACCCTGAAATTCTAATGAAAAAGATTTGGAGACAATATCGATTTCTGCCATTGTCATGAAGGTGCAACAACACTAATGCTTCAATGTGGGCATTGTGATATTATATTGTAAAATATGCATTTATAAACATCAAGCCAGAGAAGTGACCGCAGATGGCTATATACAGTATATATATACAGTATATATAGCCTTTACTCCAGTCTTCAGTTTCACATGATTCTTCAGAAATCATTCTAATATGCTGATTTGCTGCTCAAGAAGCATTTCTTATTAAATCAATGTTGAAAACAGTTGTGCTGCTTAGTTCACACAAAAATTACAATTATCCCATAATTTACTCACCCTCAAGCCATCCTAGGTGTAAATGACTTTCTTCTTTCAGCCAAACACAGTCAGAGTTATATTAAAAAATATCCTGGCTCTTCCAAGCTTTATAATGGGAGTGAATGGTGCCTGAATGGTAAAGCTCCAAAGAGCGCATCCATCCATCATAAAAGTAATCCACACGGCTCCAGGGGTAAATAATGGCCTTCTGAAGCGAAGCGATGCGTTTTTGTTAGAAAAATATCCATATTTGTAACTTTATAAACTGTAATCACTATCTTCCTGTAACATCCGTCTACACATTCACAAGAGAGTCGAGTTCTGGCATTTGATGGCATATTCCCTCCCATTATAAAGTTTGGAAGAGCCAGGATATTTTTCAATATAACTCCGATTGTGTTCGTCTGAAAGAAGATTGTCATTGGATAGTAATTGGGAGATAGTAATCGGGATAATTTTCATTTTTGAGTGAACTAACTTTTTTAATATTTTTGTGGAAACCATGATACAATATTTTCTATATAAAATAAATTAGAAAGTCCAGAAGAACAGCATTTCAGGTCAGCTATTGTCATCCTTTGTGAATAAAATAATTAATTTCAATTAATTTCAATTAAAAAATCGTACTAACCCCAAACTTTTGAACAGCAGTGTATATATAAATCTGTTCGCAGATCCCCTAGTACCTTCACTGACACCCTGGGGTCCGTAGACACCTATTAAAAGGCCCTGGATGTGGACCGACACTGTTTTATTCTGGCTGGTGTGTCTGAAAGCACCCAGCAGGGGGCACCAAACAACTGCTGAAGAGCAATAGGGACGATCACAAGAAAGTGACAGGAAGATGTTTTAGAGGAAGTGATGGAATCTTGCGAGAGACTTGACTCCGTCATCAGCCTCCAACAAACTACTGATTCTCTGAAACCTAAAGATCTTGAATTGTGATTGTCTTTTTTGGGGTTGGCTGTTTAAAGTTTGCACATATTTTGTATTTTCTTGCATCCATAATTTATCTAGAGTTAAACTCTTATACTCCATTAGTTAAATGACTATACTGAATGATAACCTCCATGAAGTATGGTAGTCATAAAGTTCTTCTCACATGTGCCTGTGATCCGTTGATCATTAGATAGTAGAGTTTACTGAGGATGCTCTGCTGTAGCTGGTCCCACGACACTGATCTGTCCTCTCTCATCAGAAACGGAGGGCCAAATCTGCAGATAAACACACATGAGATTAATTTGTTTATACTATTAGTGAGTTTAAACTCAAATAGATGCAATTACTTTGTAAAAGTTAGCCAACATAGTAACACATTCATCATCTCCAAAAAGTATGAATGTTTCTGTTTTAGCTAATACGCTCATTTCATTGTTGCTTGTTTAAGATACACTGGTAAATACATGCGTATGGTGCAGGGAGAACAGGGCTAGTTGGCACACTTTTTTACCTCAGAAAATCTTTTGGTCTCGCATTGGTTTATTTTTGACAGTTAATTTATATAAACATATAGCTTAATTTTTGCAACAAAAAGCTATTGAACATTTCCATTATTGCCTAAGAAAAAATATACAGTTCATTGATCACGTTGACTTAAAATAAAAATGTATTTATGGTTTTAGTATAATAATCCTGTAATGAGATAACTTCATCCAAAGCTAATATTAACAAGCTAAAGTTCAGCTAAATAATTCATTCACATCCCACATTAAAATGTTTAAATTACGTAAAATTAAGCAACGTTAGCATCATGAAGTACCCAGATACATGTTATTGAACTTCTGTTATTATAGGCAAGGCCTAAAATATACCAATTAATTATATATAATATGTAACATGGGTCTTGTAGAATCTCTCTATCCACTAAGGGGTCCACATTTAAAAGTTTAAATATGTACTACTGCAAAGGTCTTATAAATCTCACGTGATTTCAGGTAGTGACTATATGTAAACATTGTCACATTGTTTGTCAGATAAATCACAGTTTAATTTTGGACACTATGTTCCAGTGTCCTTAAATCCACCCCACCCTTTTTAGCTTAGTTTTTTGCAGCAGGAGCTTAGTGATTAAATTTCCAGCCAGATTTCTGCAACAGGACCTGTACAGCATAAATAAAGGAGACAAAACAAACACAAGTGAGCTGAGGGAAAGCGAGTCTTTCAGAGTGTGATAAACACGTAATTGTGTTGGGTTTCGCCTCAGCCAAAAACAACTGGGGAGTTTTCCCTGAAAGGAGGCAGAGAGAGAACTGAGATCTGGACAAACATGCTTTGATGCTCGTAACGTCACAGTTCGCCCCGGGCAACAACAACAGGGTGAGATTTTCACCAAATTACAAAGCAATAAAGAGTCTGTCTGTCCGTCATGCGAACTAACTATCCATCCATATGCTTGATGCTGCAGACACTAAATAAATATCATAAAACAGCATTTTACCTCAATAATGTGGTGATGACAATTTTGGGGAGGTCAAATTCACCCTTGAGGCATCTTGACATATTGCAATGGTCTTTTTAAATCTATTTGCTATTATCGTATATCTATTATTAAATTACTGCATTACCTATTGGCAAGATTTTAATAGCCTAAACCAATGACTCAATTGCTATTTTGCTCTTGTTGAACATCATTTATTTGGCCTATGTGAAGTGAGATGGAAAGGAACGAGGGGAGAAAGTTATTACATATTAAACAAAGATAACAAAGAAATAATCATGCACAATAAGGAAATGTATTTGGGGTCAATTTAATAGGGTACATTTTTCATTTCACTTTGACTTCAAAGATGAACTTGCTAAAATCACTGCTTCAAGCCTACAACCTGCCACAAACTAAATCAGTGTGGACACAAATGAGAAAGTCGTTGCTGACTTTTTTAACTTTTCCACTATGTTTGATGTTGCACACTCTGAACATCAAAAGAGTGTTCTCCCACAATATACCTGCTCCTGTGATGAACAGCAAAGTCCTTTTGGGTAGAAAACTAATAATAGTTTAGTAATAGTAGTAATAATCTTAATGCTTCACATTGTTTTTTAGCATTATTTTAATTTATTTTAGTACTAAACTTAATTTTGTCAGTTAATTGCCAAGACAACATTTCTATTTTTTTTTTAGGTTGTCTAAGGATTTTTAGGGGTTTTCCATCTAATATTTATATTTTGTATTATTTATTGCTATTAATGAAAACAATGGATAATACAGTAGTTTTAGTTATGGTTAACAACAAAAACACTGTTCACAAACTGAAATAATGGGTTATATGGGAATCCTCAGCAGATACTCCTTATGGCATCTGCCTATTGTGGACGTTTCTAGATTTAAACATTCCCAGTTAATGAACCCATGACAACATTTGTAGGTGAAATATAGACCTTTCCACACTCTAACTTTACAGCGATAGGAATACCACTTTTATCAGAATCTGGAGGGGGGGGAAAATCGATCAAAATATCACTGCTTGACATCTACTCACTCTAGCACATCAGTAAGAGACAACTATCTGTTCTAAGCTATCTCTCTTCCACTTCCATTAAAGTGTGGGAGAAACTCACACCACAAAAGGCCATGAAACCAAATTTGATTTCTGGACGCATTCACACCTAAGAGAGTATTGATCTCTGAGCGACTGTCACTGTCAAAAGTGTGTCTGAAGGGTCGCTCTGACGTGACGCGTCAAAAAATCTTTGAGAAGCTTTTAGAGCAAAATTGAAAAGGTGCAGGTAAAAGTTGTCGCAATTTATATTTATCCAGGTCAGCTTTATGTGGCATAAAGTGGCCCTATTTTACAGTCCACTAAATGTGCTAGTTCAGACCTTTTCCACCCTGTGTGACCCTTCGAATTAAACATATCTTTAAGTTTCATTGTAAATTACCTTTGTTACGATTGGCTAACCTCTATATACCAGCATAGTGTTAATATAGTCAACAAAATTACTGGAGAAAATGTTTGTTAATGAATTTAACAACATTAAAAATGTGCATCATAACAATAATGTGCATCGTGAAAAATAACTTGTTAATTATATTATTTTAATACCTTAATACACACTATATTCAAAAGTTTGAGGTCAGTAAGTTTTTTGGGGGGTGGGGGGTGCAGAAATTAATACTTTTATTTGGCAAGGATGCATTAAATTGATCAAAAGTAACATTAAAGACTTTTACATTGTTACAAAAGATTTCTATGTTGAATAAATGCTGTTATTTTGAACAGCCTGTTCATCAAAGAATCCTGAAAAAAAAGCTTATTACAGTTTGCACAATAATATTTAGCAGTTTTCTGTTTTAATGAACTGTTTGAGCAGCAAATTAGCATAGCATAATGATTTCAGAAGGATCATGTGACACTGAAGACTGGTGCTCTTTCCGTAACAACACACTCATGTTTAAACTAATAGTTAAAATGTTTGAATATTTGTTTTCATTTTGCACGTTCGTGTCAACTAAAATGTTATTTCCGTTGACTAAAATTAGATGGGATTTTAAATTGACATTGAGTAAATTGACAAAAATGAATTAATAAATGTAGTCATGACAAAGGATTTTTCTCTTTAAAAGACAAAAAATAAGCCAAAATAAAATGTGTAAGCGTTAACAAGTTCACACAGGGTGGGCTGAAACTGATGAATATTAAACGTTATAACTGTAAAGACTTTTATATGTGGTTCAAACCTACAACTGTTTGGTTACAAATCCAGATCTGCAACCTCAAAAAAGTTGGTATTTTGTGGGTTACCTCACTGCCTGCTGTCCTGCTCCGGCTGCATTACACACCAACAGCAAGATCTTCACCATCCCATCGGCCTGGTTCAGGAACTCAGAGGACAGCGCTCCGGACGCAGCCAGTCTGTGACCCGCCGGCCCAGACGAGGTGTACAGAGAGGACGGAAGACTGTGGTGGAACCCTGCGATGAGAGGGGGAGCCAAGGAGAGGTAGAGGTCACCTCCTAACACTGATCTGCGGGCAGATTTACTGTCTGCGGCTCCATATAGATGAATAATGTCAAACTTTATTGTGCTACAAAACAAGGTGACATACACACAGATAGAGAGAGGAAAGGAGTGACAGGGAGACAGATGGAGACATGCAAATAGAGCACAGCAGACAGCAGACTGAACACAGTGGGGTGTTTTACCCACACACATATACTAAATATATGTCAAGCTTTCAGACGTTTTCTTCCTAATAAAGTATGACCGGGCAGCAGCCATTAAGAAACATGAAATTAAGTACCCAGAACAAACTAATAAAAAAGGCTGAGACTAGTATATTAGTTATTTTCCAGAAGTCACCCAGTTAAATTGATCAAGGACAAAACAGACACATAGTTTAAAGGTGACATCATTAAAAGCGGAAGTGTGTTATTTCTGCACCTTGAACATCACCGAACAGAACTGGAACTTTAAAATGTTTTTTAAGACGCCCCTCATTGGACAAGCAGATATATAGTTCCACCTCAAACTCATGCTATTGGTAAAGTCAATATTGTTGTGTCAGGCTGGTCTGGATGTGCAAAAAGAGTCATGGTACTTTTCAGGAGAAATAACTTCTCTCAGCACATTAAATCGAGACGGTCTAACTTGAATAATTTAGCACTTTAACACTTTAATTTAAATTAAATCTAGCAAACAGAACATCAGTATCAGTACCGTGATACAATATACACTGCAATTCAAAAGTTTGGGGTCTGATTTTTTTTAACGAAATTAACAGATTTGTGCAGACAGTAAAGACATTTATAATTTTACTAAATATTTCTATTTCAAATAAATGCTGTTCTTTTGAACTTTATATTCATCAACTTTATTTATCAAAAATTATATCACGATTTACACAAAAATATAAGGCAGCTTTGTGTGTTTTCAACTTTACTGTTTTTGTCAACTGTTTTCAACATTGATATTAATCAGAAACATGTTTTGACCATCAAATCATCATATTAGAATGATTTCTGAAGGATCATGTGACACTGAAGACTTGAGTAATGATGCTGCTGAAAATCCGTCACAGGAATAAATTACATTTTACATTAGATTTTAAAATTATATACAATATTACTGTTTTCACTGTATTTTAGATCGAATAAATGCAGCCATAGCGACTTCTTTCAAAGAAAAAAGAAAGAAAAAAACGTACAGATTCCAAACTTTTGTGCGTTTGTTATATATATATATATATATATATATATATATCATCGTCTGTCTAGCTTTCTGACCAAGACCCTTTCAACAATTCACTTTGATTTGCATTTATGCTGGCCTATGACTCAGCATTGCGATTTATGGGAAATCAACTTGACAATGTCGATCAGCAAGACCATTACACTTTATGAACACATTACACTTTACAACAGGAAGGTCACATGTGCCATCATGTACAGATGGGCCTGGCTTTTTAATCAAGAAGGGATGTTTCTATGGCTAAACATCAGGATGGCTGTATTACCCAGCATTCTGTCTCAAGGTCTTTTCATATCAGGTTTTCAAAATGAAGAATGGGAAGGTATCGGAATGACCTGTGCTGACTTTAAGTAGGTGCAATCGCTCTTCTTTCTTCTCACTCTACAAACCTTACTGAGTGCGTTTGAGGTTATCACTCAAGGGTAACACTGTGAGATTGTTAATTAAACACCTCTGCTCTCCACAGATCACACAGCAAACCACCTGAACCCAACAGATGAATTACCTTAAGACAACCTAATGAGACAGAACCTGGTTTCACAAATGCATTTATATTTGATATGCCCTGTTGAAGTTTTGATTTATATAAGGAGTGTGTTTTCAGAGCTGTAGTGCTGACTGTATTGTGGACTTCAGGAATGTTGTGCTTCATTCAGAATTAAAGAGGAACATGGCCGCTGCAAAAATGGGCTTTCAAATAAAACATGGCTGCCTATACAGTAGAAAGGCGTTTATTTTTATCGGTGCTACCTGACTACAGAAAACAGAGAAAATGGCTGTTGTCTTCCCTTTTGACAAATAGGCAGGACATATTCAACACCCATATGCACCGGGCATGTTGCTGTCCAAGGCCACTCGCGCCAGTCTGCTATAGATACGCTTACCAGAATCAAATACTGCCTTGCTTTTGCAGGAAATACTTCTTAGCAAACTTTTAGTCATAATGGAGTCGACTTGTATTGTTCCCAGGAGAAAGAATTCAACGAGTAAATGATTAGCAGGAGTGAGTTACTTTTGGAATCTAGTGAAGGAACCAGCGCGTTGTAGGTAGTGATGGGAGAAACTAAGCTATTCAAAGCTTCGAATCAAATGAACAAATTGCTTTGCAAATGATTGAATGTTCCAAGTGTTCGCAACACCACACCCCGGTGACCCCTGCTGGTCAGACCAGTGTAAATGCAACAAAAACTCGGGCCAAACATGCATAAAAACACCTATTATAAACCCATTGCAAATGCTTTATTTAAAGTAACATTTATCAAATGCAATTAACTAATAATCTAATAAGATTAAATATCAAGTGTCTGTATAATATGTGTTATTTTTTCAATTTTCAGGGCTTGTTTTGTTTGTTCAATGGATGGCTCAGCTAAACAGGCCAATAAGAGACTACTAACTACTATTATTACTTTTAAATTATAATAATGTCTACAACTACAAATAACAACTACAAATGAATAAAACTGACCAGAGATCAGGTAAAGACCATGGGCACTTGGTTTCTTAGTGAATCCACATGATTTGTGGGCCCCCCAGCGGTGAACCATTGAAATTTTGAAACATTTCGATGACATAACAAAGACTCGTTTATTGAAGTCACATGACTTTGGCAGTTTTATATTTGCTCCGAACCACTGATTCGAAACAGAAGACTCTAAAAGGTTTCTTAGCTTCATGAAGCAGTGTTTCGAAAACTGCCATCACTAGTTGTAGGCAGTGGCTAAAAGCTGCAAAGAATCGAAAATACTGAGAGAATGCCGTGACAGGAAATCTGAAAAATCTCTGTGTTTGGAGTCAACATTTCAAACTGGATTACCATGAACACAGTGTTTCAAAAAACTGTCGTTTTCATGAAAGCCAGGAGCTGTCAAAAGTCCGCTGGATGACGCGTTTTGCATCATCCGGCAGAATTTTACTGACAGATAAACGCGAATTTCTCAGCCCAGGAAACACGGAGAACGAGTAAACATTGTTCATGTACATATTGTACAACCGACACTGTAACTTCGTCAATTTTCAACCCGCTTTGTATTGTTACACTTTAAAGAAGAAAGATGCAGATTTGTAACTCAAATTTTAAATTCAAATAAAATTGATAAATTCATACTACATGAGTAAACTAAAAATACTTGTAAAAATAATTTTAAAAAAATCTTTACATTTAAATTTCCAGATAAAAAAAAGGAGCTTTTTGGCAGCAAACACTTAATTTGGGTTTGGTTCATACAGGGATAAAAAAGTACCCCATGTGTAAAATGAAATACTCTGCTGTATCTTTAATGCTGTGGGCCTAATTTTCTGCCAGAGGTCCTGGACATCTTGTTCAGATACATGGCAACATGGATTTGATCAAATACCAACAGATCTAAACCTGACAACCTCTGCTAGAAATCTTATAAAGCGCCATGTTTGGATCTTCCAACAGGACAGTGATCCAAAAACAAACATCAAAATCAAAACAAAAATGGGACACTGAGCACAAAACCAAGCATCTGCAATGGCCATCCCAGTCCCTGACCTGAACCCAATAGAAAACGAGTGGGCTGAACTGAAGAGAAGAAGCACTAACATGAATCTGGGAATCTGAAGGATCTGGAGAGATTCTGTAAGGAGGAATGGTCTCTGATCTCCTGTCAGGTGTTCTCCAAACTCATCAGGCATTATAACAGAAGACTCAGAGCTGTTATCTTGGAAAAAGGAGGTTGCAAAAAGTATTTAATAAAAGGGGGCAAATACTGTAATTGTTCCCAATGTGTTTTGGAAAAAACATTTATTTCATAATGTGATTTCCCCCCACTTGCATTTAAAAAAAATATATATATCAAAAGGATAAACAATGCAGCCATCTTTGATCATATTTAACAAGGGGGCGAATAATTCTGACCAGCACTGTATGATATAAAATGTGTTGGACATTTTAAAAGTTGTGATATCTGTGTTGACTGTTTTGAGTTAAGAAAGATCTATTTAACCAGAAATATATATATAAAATATTACTAAAATAATAGAAAAAATATTTAGGGGATCTAAAATGTATCACTAAGTCATGATTCAATATTTATACTTTGTTGCAAAACATTTGTGTGACAGTGAATCATTACTTTACATTTATGTAATTTTGTAAGATTACTCTTCCTGCCAATCCTGTGGTGCCAATTCAAATCACATTCTCATGATCTGAAGGTGAGCCATATATGAATTCTGCCCAACCCTAGTGAATACAGACTTGGCCACCCTATACAAATCATGGCCCCTATTCAGGCCTATCATCATGGCATACTGGACCAAAAATAAAATCACAGCAGATTTTATACAGCAATTTAATCCAATTTAAATCTAAATATCAATATACACATGTAATTTCAGTCAGAAAACGTCCCGGGTTACGTATGTAACCCTAGTTCCCCGAAGGGACGGACGCTGCGTGTAATCGCAGTGGGAACGCCCTCAGTGTGACGCGTCTGAAGCATGAATGAAATCAGTCAATGGAGAGAATGAGCGTACGGCGAGTGACGTCATCGACCAGGAAGCTATAAATATCCCCTGAGCACACAATACGCCAGCTTAAAAGTTAATGAAGCAAGCGACCCAAGGGGATGCCGAGAGTATGGCAGGACACGCAGCGTCCGTCCCTTCGGGGAACTAGGGTTTCATACGTAACCCGGGACGTTCCCCTTCAGGGACTACCGCTGCGTGTAATCGCAGTGGGAACGCAATACCCACA